GCCTGGAGCTCTAAAGCTCCAAAGCTCAGCCTGGAGCTCCACGCTGAGCTTTGGAGCTCCGCATGGAGCTATGTAGCTAAGCGTGGAGCTCCAAAGATCAGCGTGGAGCTCAGCGTTGAGCTCCACATCTTAGCGTGGAGCTCCATGACCCAGCGTGGAGCTCTAAAGCTCAAGGTGGAGCTCCATGACTCAGCGTGAAGCTCTAAAGCTCAGCATGGAGCTCCATGACTCAGTGTGGAGCTCAGCGTGGAGCTCCAAAGCTCAGCAAAGTGCTCCAAAGCTCAGCGTGGAGTTTCATGACTCAGCGTGGAGCTCCAAAACTCAACGGGGAGCTCCACGACTCAGCATGGAGCTGTGGAGCTCCAAAGCTCAGCGTGGAAGTCAATGACTCAGCTTGGAGCTCTAAAGCTCCAAAGCTCAGCCTGGAGCTCCACGCTGAACTGTGGAGCTCCATACTGAGCTTTGGAGCTCCGCATGGAGCTATGTAGCTAAGCGTGGAGCTCCAAAGATCAGCGTGGAGCTCAGCGTTGAGCTCCACATCTTAGCGTGGAGCTCCATGACCCAGCGTGGAGCTCTAAAGCTCAAGGTGGAGCTCCATGACTCAGCGTGAAGCTCTAAAGCTCAGCATGGAGCTCCATGACTCAGTGTGGAGCTCAGCGTGGAGCTCCAAAGCTCAGCGAAGAGCTCCAAAGCTCAGCGTGGAGCTCCAAAGCTCAGCGTGGAGCTCCAAAGCTCAGCAAAGTGCTCCAAAGCTCAGCGTGGAGTTTCATGACTCAGCGTGGAGCTCCAAAACTCAACAGGGAGCTCCATGACTCAGCATGGAGCTGTGGAGCTCCAAAGCTCAGCATGGAACTCAATGACTCAGCCTGGAACTCTAAAGCTCAGCATGAAGCTCCATGACTCACTCACAGTTGGGGAGTTCGGCGGAACCAGCTGGACCCTGCTCTCGGACCCGGACCCTCCGGGCTGCCTCAGGTTTGGTGCGCTCCTCCACCAGCCCCCGCCGCTGAACCCGTCCGCGGGGGGCGGGGACGCGGCCCGGATGCTGCTGGGCGCCCTCAGGGACCCCGAACCGGAACCACCGGAACCACCGGAGCCTCCGTCCGGCCTCAGCAGCCGGACCCGGTGCTTGATCCCGGCCCGGTCCCGGGAGGACGCCCGGGAGGAGGTGACCGGAAGCGGCAGCACGGGCTCCGACACGGACAGGTACGCGCCCCCGGCCACGTCCGAAACCACCAACCTGGGCAGGCGCATCTCTTCCGGAACCACCCTCCTCTTGGACAGGAGCAGGAGTTTGTATCCCAGGAAGAAACAGTTGAGCAGAAGCAGGACCACCACGCACGGGATCAGGAGGAGGACCACCAGGGTCAGGCTGGTCACGGGCCGGGTCTCGGTCAGGTTTGTCGGCGTGGTCTGACTTGGTTGAGACATTTCATTCCCGGGGGCGAAGTGTAGAAAATCCCACGCCACGGGCACGCTTCCCCGCGCGCGTGCGTGCGTGCGCAGGTGCCCCCTGACGCCCCCAATCAGGGCGCGCCACCCTGCGCAAAGAAGTCTCCAAGAAAGTTTTCCAAAGTCTCTCCAGAGGTCTGAAACCGGCCCTGGGTCAGTCTTTAAACTGTCAAAGCCAGCAGCCGGCCTCCTCTTTGAGTTACAGGTGAGCAGGTGTGTCTTTTGATTATTATTATAATTTTTTTTTGGCCGCTGGATGGCACTGAAACGCATCAAACAAACGCCCAGGCTTCCGTTTCTCCACCCAAAACTCCTCTAGTCAGACTAGTTTTGTTCCAAGCTGCAAAAAGTGGACCTTTGGCATCATTTTGTCAAATCCGGATGCAGAATATTTCATATTTAACCAAGCCTGTGTACAGTTTAGAGTCTGTCAGGGTCGTTTCTCAGGAAGGAAACAGAAGGAAAATCAGTAATTTGGAATATTCTGCCAAACAAAATATATAAAACAAGGGATGCATGAGCTCCTAACCACATAGAGCCTGAAAAAAGGAAGAAAAGGTGGAGGATAAACATTAATAAGGTTAATTTAATATTGATTCAAAGGGTCCAGATAAAGGAGACAAGACACAAACACGTCTTGAATTGATTTGAATTGAAATTGAAAGCCTTTATTGTCATTATGCATGCGTACAACGAGATTTGATCTGAGCTTTGTCCCATTTGTTTGTAACCAGAGGCTTCCAGGGTTAGCCTTAAGAAGAATGAGCCCAAAATGCTGTTATCCTGCACCACACATTCAGATAAGCTGGTTTCACAGTGCAGATGGACAATGAAAAACCAGCTTTTAGCCAAATAGACCCAGTACTGAAGACCCCCATCACCTGAATTTAGTATTTAATAACTTACAAATAAAGCCAAAACCAGAGAAACCTGTGAAAAAAACAAGGGGAAGCAGCTAAATTAAAGGTCAGGCAAACTACCAACTAACAGCCAATGCCTGCAAATGATCCTAAAAAAGCCTGAGTAATGACTAAATTCTGCTTTCCCTGTTTCTTTAAACACCTTAGATCTCATTAGGCCTCCATGTTTCTTCTTTATGCACATTAATCTAAAGTAGGAATCTGTTCTTTAGTCTTTTTTGGTGAAGATGCTGAATAAAAATGGAAGCACTCATCCAGAATGAGTGTCAGCTGTTGGGAAAAGGCAGAATAAGGAGGGATTTTCCGTTTTAATTCTGGCTTAAAGACACTGAGCTCCACTTTGTCTCGATGTGTGTGATGGTTGGAGGGAGAAACGGGAAAAATCTTATCACAGAGAGGTAATTTTGTTGATGTTTTTTTATTTTTCATGCTTTAAAATCAGGTAATAATACATCAGCGTCTCTCACTGCAGAGTATATACAAACGTTTCTAATAATTCAATAGAACATTGACAAGGGAATCTCTTTTAGAGACAATATTTTCTCATTTTGTACACAAAGTAGATCTTTGTAGACAAGAAAACTTTGCTATTGTAATAAATCAATGCAAAAATCCGTCATATGAGCACCATATAACTCTAATGAGAATAAAGATACTAGTAATAATAAGAAAGTTGCTTTTCTCTTCGCATACTTCTACCATATACGTTTAAGGAAGTCTATACAGACTCGAATAGCACACTGATATCCTGCCGTATATGTGCAAGTATAACAGTACAGATAAGCTTTTCATTCCGGAGAATGCTCGCCCCTCAGACACCCGAGGCTTTTCTCGCCGTGCACGCGCTCGCCGTGCACGTGCCAACGCGACCGGATTGGGCCCAAAGTCCCCTCTTCCTCCTCTTCCTCCTCCTCTTCCTCCCAAAGTCCCCTCAGATATCCAGCTCAACTCCTCTTGTCCAAGCACAATAAGAGGCTGTGATTGGTTTTGGGATCTTAGCACCTTATTTGTTCGTTGTTGTCAAGGCTGTGCTCGTGAATGGAGCCAGACGTGGCGCTAACTAGCTAGCTAGCATGCTAGCATGCTGGCTAGCGGGCTAACACTGGCCCAGGCTGTGCTTGATGATCTCGCGGGATTGAGGTGGGATCCGGTCGGGGAAGAGCACCTGGAACTCCACCACCAGGTCCCCCCGCTGGGAGGGGGTCCGGGCCAGGGGAAGCCCCTCCCCCCTCAGCCGCCGCACCGCGCCGGGCTTTATCACGTCGCTGCAGGGCAAAGGCATCATGCGGTTGTCCAGCGTGGGAACGTTGACCGTGCACCCACAGAGAGCCTGCAGACAGAAGAGAAGCACAGAGTTAGAGTTAGTCCTTAAAGCCCTTAGAGATATGCAGTGGAACAACCATACGTCCATTATCCTAACCGCTTATTCCCTAATGGGGTCAAGGGGGGGACTGGAGTCTATCCCAGTGGTCAATGGGCGAAAGGCAGGGAAGTTTGGAGTCCAGTCAAGCTAAGATATGGGTTTTTGGACTGTGGGAGGAAGCCGGAGAACCCGGAGAGAACTCACAGACACAGGAGAACATGCAGACTCCACCCAGAAAGGTCCTGGTTCCCCCGGGGACTCCAACCCAGAACACTCTGGTCCTGGTTCCCCCGGGGACTCCAACCCTGAACCTTCTTGCTGTAAGGACATGATGCTAACTACCACACCCCCATGCTGTCCTATTCTTTATATTTATGTATTTAGCAGACACTTTAATCCAAAGGGATTTACAAATTAGAATATATACCGAATATATCCATGTGTATCTCGGTTGCATAACCATTCACAGAAAAGCAGGCGAGAGCGTGTCGTTATGAAACTACAGATGTTATAATCGCTGTTCTATTTTCCGACCGCGTGTGGGAGTTGAGAGTGTCAGCGACTGAAGCGAGCCATAAGGAGGTCGGGGGGGCGGTCGGGCGCGTGGGCCCGATCGGGCCGAGAGGCTGCAGTGCGACTGGTGGGCAGCGGGTTAAATTTAGCTGCTGCTGTCTTTTCTCGCTCTGAGGGAAGGGAGGCAGACTGCTGGGGGGGGGGGGGGGGGCGGATGCCCACTGCAGAACACTGTGTTCTTTCTTTTTATTTTTTTTTGTTCCAGACCATAATCTCATCTGTACAAATGGTTGTTTCTCCGATTAATGTAGAAAGAATGGGGGTTAGTTTTGTGGTTTAGTGGTGTGTGTCAGGGGTTCGATTCCCAGAAGGGGAGATACGCATGTATATATTCTGTATATGTTCTAATTTGTAAGTCGCTTTGGATAAAAGTGTCTGCCAAATGCATAAAAATAAAGAAAAGGGTGGTTAGCACCATGGCATCACAACTAGAAGGTTCTGGGTTGGAGTCCCCGGGGGAACCAGGACCAGAGGGTTCTGGGTTGGAGTCCCGGGGGAACCAGGACCTTTCTGGGTGGAGTCTGCATGTTCTCCTGTGTCTGTGGGTTCTCTCCGGGTTCTCCGGCTTCCTCCCACCGTCCAAAAACCTGCATGTTAGTGTGAGTGTGTGTGTTTGTTGGTCCTTGTGTGTCTCTGTGTGTCCTTGTGATGGACTGGTGGACCGTGCAGGGTGACCCCGCCTCTCCCCATTACCTACTAGGTTGGGCTCCAGTTTCCCCTCTGGGACCCCATTAGGGGATAAGCAGTTACGATAATGGATGGATGTAAATAGAACAACGACTCTGACTGTGAAGTCTAACAGAAAGGAAGCAAAACGCACCTCTTTGAGGGTGATCTGAGCGGTGTAGACGATGTTGGAGCCGTCCCGTTTGTAACTGGGGTGCTCCTGGTCCCTGAGCACGAAGGTGATATCCGCCGGGCTGCTGTCGGGGGTCTCGTCCCCCTCCCGGGGAAACGTGATCCTGGTCCCGGACCTCCATCCCTTCTTCACCACCACGCTCAGCACCTTGTCCTCGCTGCGCAGCGAGCGGCCGTCGGCGCCCAGGCGGCTGCGCGTGACTTTCACCTGCTTGGTGCAGCCGTGCATCACATCGTCCAACGTCACGGGAAGTTCGTGCACCACCGCCTGGCCCTGAAGGCGCCGCGCCGGTTTGCGGGGGCCGCCGCCCGCCGCCGCCTCCGGGACGTGGCTGAAGGTGAACTGCCGGAAGGGGTTGAAGAGGTCCTCCTCGCCGTCGGCCTCGCCGAAGATGTCGAAGTGGTCGGCGCCGTGGAAGAAGGAGGAGAAAGTGGCGTGGGGGTCGCTTTGGGGGGTGTTGCGGAAGATGTTCCCCTGACCGGCAGAAACTCCGCTTTTAAGGCCTAAGAAAGGCAAGAAAACAGAGAGAATGGAGATCAGTCGATGAGTCAATCAGATAGATGGATAAGTAGATAGCTAGCTAGCTAGATAAGTAGCTAACTAGATAGATAGATAGATAGATAGATAGATAGATAGATAGATAGATAGATAGATAGATGATTTTATTGATCCCAGAAGGGAAATTTGATTGAATTTGCCAAAAAGTTAATCAGATAGATAGATGGATGGATGGATGGATGGATGCTGAAAATTAGTAAGACCTGAAGCCTGAGACCAGTCAGAAGGAAGGACAGAGGGATTGATGGATGAAGGAAGGGGCGATAGATAGATAGATAGATAGATAGATAGATAGATAGATAGATAGATAGAT